AGGCCTCATTTCGAGCTCTCCAGTGTTTTTCGTTTTTCCCTTACTAGTTAGTCTATTGGCGGCTACTGTTTCACTTTTAAAGCCCATTGCCTAGTTTTGCTATCGCGTAATGTACCTCTGGCTTGACGTGGTCCATGACGGCCACAGGTTTTCATCTGTGTGGTCCATTGAAATTCAAACAAAAACTATGAAATTTAGGGATGTGCAACATCAAAGTAAGCATCGCCATTGCAATTCTAGGCATAAGTGCTGGAATCATGGCAGGCCTATGCTTTGCCATACAGTACCACGTGAGTTACAGTAGATCTACAGAGCCCAACTTGAGCAGTCGTACTCTCAGAAAATGCACACGGAAGTTCCAAAAGGATATCTCTTTCAGAACTGGTCCGCCACGATTATGGCGTTTATCTCAGCTCTGGCAGCCTCGATTTTGTTGTACATTCATATGGCTTACATGAAAGGATGGATGGTCGACTGGCCTCACGCCCGCTTTGTTTGCTTTACTTGGGCTGGTGAGTCCCTTCTCAGAATAAGACTTATATTTCACGACAGAAATCAAATGAATAAGTGGTTTTGTGCTCCATAATCACTCTCTCGAACAAGCCATGCATTCGACTTCCCTGCACAATCGTGCTAGCTTTTGCTTGTGTTTTTGTCCTTAACGATAACTTTAATTCTGTCCATGACTGCATATTTGTTCTGCAGTTAGGTTTGGGGCCAATTATTCGATTTAGGAGATATGAATGGTTTATTTGGCCTAGATAAAATTCATATTCGACATTCGATCTCCGAGCCTTGGACGCACCAGCAATATCTCACCCTCGGCCCAGCAACTGAGAAAATTCGGAGTAAGGAGATAGCCGCTTAAGGTGTGTGTAATGTCGTTAACTCGGACTTGGGTTTTTGAGTTGGACCTTACCCAAAAAAGTAGAAGCTTCATCAAGTTTAGGGGTGTCTCTATTCACCTTTACTTTTATGAAGACCGTGGATATTAGAGACTAGGAGTGTTCCTACTGGTGTTCATTTTTGAAAAGACCTGCTCGCTTACTTCCATCAGGGTCAGGCATGGTTTTGCGGTGTATTTCACACTACGATCCTCCTTGTCATTGATCAAAACGCTAGATAGTGTGCGTAGAGGGGGGGCTGCACTATAATACCGGGCGGGCTGGGACCGCGTAAAAACTGCTCGAGGTTCATTTCCCTGTAAACCGCTCGAGGCGGATTCCCTGTCTAGTCCTTTCGAGCTGAGACATCATGTTGGTCACCGTCATCAGATGACGCGATTGATGCTCCGAAGCGGCTGGGTCGCAGGAAGAGCTAAGGAGTCGCAGTCTTTTCACTGAAGTGATTTTCGGGTCTTTGAGGCTAACACGATTCTTTTAGGCTAAGTGCGTGCAGATCACCTCGTTCTTTTATCGTACTGCATACTGCTTGAATTCTAACTTGATACTACCTGTGCTCCGGAAGAATAATCTGTTCGAACGGGAGGACGGGCCGGCATACATCACTATCTTGGTGTAGCATTTGCCAAAATTATTTCTTCTTTTTCTTCTCCTCTCCTTTTTTAGGACTTGGAAGGAGAGGTCATTTTGAGGAACCCGGCAAAACATGGTTTAAAAAAATGGAAAGAAAATTGTGTTGGAATGGAGGAATTAAAATAGGCCAATGAAGTTCATCCAACAACCTCAAGATAAATTTCGTGGGGGTAAATTAGCCTAGCAATTGAGATTTGCCGGAGGTGGCGATTGTCTATTAGTTCTATAGGCTAGTCGGTCTGCTCGTGATCCCATAGGCTCCTAGCGAACTTGTCTGAAACATCATTCAAAAGGGCAGTTGCCTCTTTTTCAATGGTTTTGTCCAAACATGATCTTGAGAGCGACATTTGCCATTGACACTTGGTTGACCTGATAAGAGGACATAGCATAGCTGATAGCAGAGAACTGCTGCGGAAGTAAACTACGGGGGAGTTTGAACTATGAGTTGCTCTCTGAACTTCAGCACATTATCTTCCCAGTCGCAACAAAATGACCCTTATACCTGTGAGTGAGCCAAACGTCAAGAGCACTACTGAGGAACAGGGAGTCGTATATCGCGGTGAGTTCGACGGGTACTTTCCGAAACCAGCATGGTTGAGTTCGAGGAATTTTTCCGGAAAAATCATAACTTTTGAGGGTTTTTGGTGGGATTTCGATGTTTGCAGATATTTTGGAAATTTTGTGTCTTTGCTGTTTTGCTTTACCTAAGTTGGATTAGGGGTTAGGACTGAGAGCACGTGAACCTTGAGTCATGACACCAGCTGCATGGCGGGTGGTCGGTGTCGTAACTGGACCGCCGCCCGGACGAGAAGAGGCGGTACCACGAGCCAAATTTCCCCGCTCTGTATCCACCCGCACTAGATTTACCAGAAGAAGGGATGGGTAGCCCAGAAGAAGTTAAAAGTACTTGGTCGAAGCGCCATGGGCCGACAAATCGCTTACCAGTCAAAAAGCACTTTCTTTAATGTCGAAATACAATTGGGTTGTTTCTATTGTCTCATAAATTACTGTCGCAATTTCGACACTTTTGTTTATTCAAGTTTTATCTCTTCTGGGAAACAACTGACTAATAGCATAACCACCATCATGGTCACTGATATACGTGCATTTACTAGTGGGCGTTTGGAAGCTTCCACCCCAGAATGAAGGAAACTGAGGGTTGAAGAATTTGGAGAAGTCGTTTTTGGGGTGACCGCAATCTTTAACTTTCTTCTCTGGCAGATGCTTATTCAAAGCGCAGGGGAGGCGATAGTCCGATAGAGCGATGCCAATGCTATATGGTGGATGAGGTATCGTGGACCTGGCTGTTTCCCTCAGAACGTGGTGAGTTGGCATTGCAATGTGAGGTCTGGTGTACATTCGGAGGAAGGAGGATCTGAGACGTTTCTGACGATTCTCTCGCAACCCCAAAGCCAGCCAAGAGGGCTATTCCGCGCTGACTTTAGCAATGCTTGTCTTCATACATTGAAGTGGTTCCCAAACCAGGCCACCTAGCGAATCCAATAAAACGAGATCGATATTCTCAGAAAACGGAGTTCGGGCTTTGGTTGAGCTGGTGCTTCCTAGCTGCGAGGCAGCCATAAGACGTGCCGCATGTTGTTGTCGCAGTGGACTCTTGACTCATTTCCACCGGTGACCGATTAGGGAAGACTCTGCTTTTGCCATCCAAGAATGGGTTTTCCCCAGGTGATCAGGCGTGCTCCCGCTCATGGTCGGCCGGACCATAAGGTTTCCATCAAAACTTCACTCTGCAGCAGTCTTGCCATACTGATGGCGTTTGCTGGTGCATCGGCTGCGCTCAGGTATCTGCTACAATACCCTGGTAGCAACGTGCGGAGGCACTCCCAATTTAGGGTGCAAGGGGCGCTCATCAAAAATGACCGCAGGCCCAGTATGAGGTTGAAGTTCATAGCTCGTTTCGTCTTTGCCGTTGCGATTGGTCCACTAGCTCAGTACCCTATCAGTAGCAGAGACTGAGTCAAACACAGCGCTGATCTTCTCTGTTGTCCTCCTTGCTACAGAGTTCATTTGAGGATCGTAAAGCATAATCATTGATTGCAGTCACTGACCTATTTTGGTTACTAGTTGATTAACCGTCAGGGCTTGCGCTTCCGAAACCATGCTGTTAAGGCTCTTGAAGCATACTTCAACATACTAACGTATTTCGCAATGAAACGGTCTTAGACGGGAAGAATTTGAAATTGAATAGAAATGCGACAGGAATTATGAGACAAACCCATATACTTTTCTGTGTACTGAGGATTAATACCCTTGACAAGACACCACACACACTCACAAATAAACAACAAAGCGCCTGTCTTTCTGACTCCCATGACTCTGGCAAAGGACAATCCGCACTTCAAATGCTTCTACGACTTTCAGAAACCGCAGACATGATATCGTCCTGAACTTTGGTCTGGGGTCTCATCCGGTAAGAGGGGGCATTGCGGTGCACGGTCTGCTCTAATGCCAATTTGGCTCAAGGAGTCCTTTAAAGTTACGAGCTGCTATCAGCTTTTTTCCTATGTTATTTCTTCAGGTGTTTTGTGTAATGTATGTATTCTTGTACTAGATGACATTAACGTCTACGAAAAGTAATATTCACCTAGTCAGCAGGTCAGGACTAAGCCTAGGAGGGGGAGGAAGTCCCCCGGGGAAAACCAAGATTGCTCACGGACCCGGGGGCTCCTTCCCTTCTAAGGCTTAGTCCTGAACGTCTACAATAAAATAATGTGCTTTCCATGGTTTGAAATGCTCTAGATCGCTATGCCCCCCTTACTGGATGAGACCCTTGGTCTGCACAAATCTCCAGATTCTGTTTAACTTTTTCCTTGAATTCCAACTTCATTGGCTAAAGTAATTATCACTACAGTTGGCAGCAAATTAGTTAATACTTTAAAAAATCCACTCTGCTTATTTAAAAATTTGACTCCTTTTTCAGGATGGGTGTTCTTCGCCATCGGAATGATTGGTATGACAGCATGTCTAGTGAACGCCAGGAGTCAAGCACCAGACGTTGACTGAAGAAGGTAGGAATCAGCAGCTACTTAAGCAATATGCATACTCCGACAAAAATATGGGTGACCATTCCAAGAGGGAGGGGTAGGGCGAAAGGGGGAGGGGGAGGAGGTGGACGAGTTCACCTTGATGTTTCGCCCTTTCATTTGCCTATTCTATAATCGATACGCTCAATCCTAATGACTACTATTAACCTGTGGGTCATTTTTCATGACAGTGGACGCTTAGTTGAACCCTTTGACAAGAATCTAAAGCTTTTCTGAGACGTTTACATTGATGATCCTTCTTGTGGTTGGCCCTGAATAAGACTCTCCTTATAGCTATTTGGGAGATGCCAGGCAAGGCCAGCCAACCGGCGCTTCAGTGTGTTCCAAGACGCCCTTTTCGGTAAGTGGAGGACAACCCATGTAGTCTCCATAGTGGGCACCATGCAACCAGCTTACTGGCTCGGCCCATTCCAGCAAGCTAAATGCTTAACGGACTTGTATATTGGCCAATTGCCATGCGTTTTCCTTGCATGGGCAATCTATGAAAGCCATGAAAGGTGTTGCACTTGGGAAAACCGTAGTACTGATAGCGTTATCAGTTAATTTCTAATCAAAGCTCAGACGCTCGTATATAAGACGAGAGTGGGAATTCTCGGTGACAGATCGAAAATACTATGTATACATCAAAAATTGAAATAGTGGCTGTAAAAAGCTTATGTTTCTTGAAAGAGCAACGCAATCGTCTTTCGTCAGAATTTTGATGCGTTTTTGACACTTACTGTGAGCTGCAGAAAAGAACCCCTCTGAAACACTAAATCTAAAGCAGTGTCTTACGACGGGCCGAAAGAGGCGGAGCGTTCGCTGAGTCACTCAGACTTATGCGAACCAGACTCATCAGCGCGCTTGAGGGCGTTGAACTGACCCCTCCTTACAACTTTCCATCACGCTATGATGTCATCTCAAATCGCCGCCACATTAAAGGCACAACCCAGGCAACGATTTCGGTCTGTAGTATAGACCCCTAGAGGACAATCACAAATGTGGCGTTCCCGTGCACGGAAACCAACCGACAAGAGCGCTTGGGCCTTGCAAAGTAAGCTGCTGAAGCTGCAGATTTTTTCTCTTATCAGGCTGTTGTCTGGCGCTCTCTCATCTGTAGCGCTCTCTCGCCTCATACTCTCCTCTCCGCGCTTAGTCTCTCATTCCCTTAGCACAGCCGATAGGAAGGTGAGTGAGCCCTTAACCTAAGCGTTTTTGACGGATTCTTTTCCTTTTTCTTTATGCCGGCCCCGCCTTACACATTCGTATTCATGGGCAGGAGCCATACCAATGTGATCCTGGGGCATGCCTTTGAGCCATTGCGTTCAGTGTCTTTCAAAATGCAGACGCATGCCAAGAAATAGAAAATATTTCCTCAATATTGGTTCATGACGTCAATAGCAATTTTATTCAGGACTGCAAGGCGAGAACTTCTGGATCACCGCCGTTTGGTTTTTCATGTTGGGCAAATGGGCGTCATTGGTAGCGGTGTTCTCTCGGCGCTACATGTATGCCACGTCTATTCCTCTTTCAAAGACTCCTCCAATCCCCGTTGAAAAGGAGTAGAATTACGCTATACGAGCAAAATCAGGAACAATTCCTCGTTTTTTTTTCTCGGAAATCGTTTGAGATGTCCAATAGGCATAGTTTATTGATTGATCTCATATGTCATGCAAGGTACAAATACTACAAATAAATCTGGAGCTATACGAAGTTATTACGTATAGTATTGCCATGCAAGCCCTTCAAGGCCAAATGTATCCTCATTCATGGCCTAGGCCCACATTTTCATTGTATTTATAAAATGACTGTCGTGATTGGCGTTCGCGAACAGTCGTCCAATCACAGCTGTTTTTCGAGTGAGTTGGCCATGAGCTCTCAGGTCGATGTCATACTTTGCGAATCGCTCGTCGCGAGCTTGCGCAGCGAATGAATGTCACCAGCGAATCGAACTTTGTACCAGCGATAACTTCGATACTATGTCAACCAGACTCAATAGTGGGCGGGACCCAACGTTCAAAGGAAGCCCGCCACTTTCAAACAGTGTCCACTGTCAAGTCCCGCCACTTTCAAAAACAGGGTCCACTGTCACGTGACACTGTTTGAAAGTGGCGGGCTTCCTTTGAACGTTGGGTCCCGCCACTATTGAGTCGCTGGTACCTAGTTCGACTCGCTGGTACATCGTTCGACTCGCTGGTGCAAAGTTCGATTCGCTGGTGCAACGTTCGATTCGCTGGCGCAACGCTCGGATCGAGCGATTCGCAAACTATGACATCGGCCTCAAGCTGAAGAAGAGCAGATTTTGGCTTCCCGTGACGCTCTTAGGCATACCAGACCTTCCTTTCTATATTTAAGGCAAATTCTGTTTAATTATCGCCACCCCATTCACATCACAGGTAAGGATAGAGGCTTAGAAGTTCGGATCAGTGCGTCTCCAATGCACCAATGCTCTCTCACCGTTGTGGTGTCTGTGTCTCCGTTCTCGGTGTGCTCTCTCGTCTCGGCCTCACTTAATCGCCCAGTGTCTCATAGTATGCTTGTTTCCCGACCCGTCTCACCGTCTTCTGTAATTTCTTTTGCCATTTTTTCTACTGTTCGATAAATTACCACCTACTGTTTGATGTTTGAGCTTCATTACCGTTTTTGCTATTGCGGAATGTGCCTTCGAACAATGTGTGCAGAGTCTGCACTTTTGGCAGCTCTAGATAATGGTTTGTCTTAGCTTGTTAGTAGGTTTTTTACACTGCAATCTGCGATCTGAACGTTATCAATGGGCTGTGGGAAAGAAGTTCAAATGCGTTGTGATAGCATTCCATCGCGAACTGTGGCAAAAAAACAACAACAAAACAAATCAAAATTCGTAGCGTCTGCTATACTTTCAGTTTTACGGTTCATGAGCGATGTTGGCCAACTGTATCCTCATGCTAGACAAATGTGAGGGCAGTTGGCCGCAAATTCCAGTGAAAAACTGTGAAGGTTATGGGTTACCAGTCCAGCAACAGCAAAGAGGGCGCTCATGTCGGGAAGAGGGGGGGGGGGATTCAAGAGAGTAAGTCACATACAGAACTTGGGACCAGACCGAGAGAGGACCAGGCAACTAATTTTCTCCGTGGCTTTCTGGGAGGCGGTCATATGGCGCGATCACATTGGCATTAGAGCGCACAGGCCGCAATTGCCCATCCTGCTGCGGCCGGACAACTCGTCCGTATCACTCAACTAGACTTCAGTAATTGATCGATCTGATAATTTGGGTCTCAAAATCTCGCTGAGTCCCAAAGATCTAAAAAGAGCGGATAGCTTCGCTGGCCTGATGCCAAGGCAAGAGGAACGGAACAGAATGTGTTGCGCGGACGAGTTGTCCGGCCACAGCAGGATGGGTAATTACGGCCTGTGTGCTCTAATGCCAATGGGATCGCGCTATAAAACGCACACCCTAGCGTTTTTATCCTACCCCGAGCTCAGTCATCCTAGCGTTGCCTACGTCACCTACGCAAAGTTTTAAATGCACTCTTTTTTTGAATGGTCCCCCTCCCCTTAAGGCCAAGAGCGCAGCAAAGAGCAGATGATTACTGGGATACCGTCTAAGGTAAACCTCTTGCCTTCACCACAGCATGTAGTGTGTGTATGTGTTTTGTAGAGGAGTGAGTGGGAAAACGCTTTATGTAATCGATGATTCCAGATCTGCTGATCACTCTATAAATAGAATGAGGGCAACACAGACCTTGAAATTGGTCCGTCCTTGAGAGTTGTCGTTTAGGTTCCGTTACGTGTTACTAAAAGTACAAGCATTGTTCAGTCAAGAAGGCATTCTTACGATGAAGGTAGCGATTACGATAGGTTCTGGAGGGGTTTAGAGGGGACGTGGGGGTGCTTACTGGTACGCTAGTGGCTTTTAGTACTGCTCAGCTACCAGCGTACCTTTCGTTGTGAAAGCGCCACCCTTGTCAGCAGAGCTATGCTTGGTTTTGTGTATGCATCTATTTCCTCAATGCTTTTCCTCTTTTATCGTGACGCGAGGCATTGAGGAGATGCTTCAAGGTATTCGATGGGCAGATCTAGCAGTTGTTGTGGATTCCTTGATGGTTGGGATCATACTTGGCCCGGTGATGGGGGTAATAATTGAAGGCGTCAGCAGGGAACTCGCCAGGGGGGGGGGGGCGATCGGGTGGAGGTGACCGCTACTCTCGCTGTATGTTGCTGAGTGTCGAGTGCACGGCGTACCCCTCAACGCTATTACCCATGCTGTGCCCCAGCTGTAACGCTTTGGGGGTCTGGTATGGGATCTGGTGACAAAAGTGGAAGCAAGCCAGGTTTTGGTTGTTCAAACGGCTTCTGGATGCCCAACACCATTGTTTTAAAGTTGACGTTTCACAATGGACCAAGGAAATGGGTGGGCGACTTTCGTCAAAGTTCCTGGACATGATACTGGGGCTGAAAAGCAGCTCGCGAGAAATGGCTTAGTTGACGTCTTCGGGAAGCTCAGGCGTGTCGCAGTGCCTCTCGTTAACGGCCCACTTCCGCTCGAAAGCATAGGAAGAGCGAAAGCGGCGGAGAGTCTGAAAAACGTGGGACTTCTGCTCGGCGAATTTTCTGATTAACGGCTACGGGATTCCTCAATGAAGAAACCTTTGGAATCTTCTGGTTCAGCAATTACATTTAAAACCGCTTCTTCCTAGAAGCTCGACCTCAAGAAGAGTTGCTGTCTGCTTTTTCAGACTAGTGGCAAGTTCCAGCCGAAAACTCCTCTTGTTGCTTCCTCCTGGCCTCCCCGCTTCTCCGTAGTGTTCCATTTCTAATGCACCGCGCGAGGAAATGCAGCACAAAACTATTGTTTTTTTTTTTTGTTTTTTTTTTTTTTTGTCCCGTTTTCAGAAAACACTTATCCCTCAATGGTGAAATTGGCCAGGCCATTCTGCAAAAAAGTGCACTTGCAGAGCGGCCTACGATTTTGCCCATTCAGATGATTATAAGAAAAC